TGCCAGGGTAGTTCAACATAAAATCAATCAATATAATAAATATCATTAACAAAATGAAGGAACAAAAACAGATGATCATCTCGAATGACGCAGAAAAGGCATCTGACAGAATACAATCCCTTTTTATTATAAGATCTCTCAGAAAACTAGTTATAGAGGGAAAATTCCTCAACATGATAAAGGTATTTGTAAAAAACCCACAGCTAACAATAATCAATAGCTTAGCTTCCCCTCTAAAATTAAGAACAAGTCAAAGACACTATTCAACATTGTACTGGAAGTTCTAGCCAGAGCTGTTTTTAAAAAGGCAGGGGGAGGGGGGAGAAAAATAAATAAGAGACATCCAAATTGGAAAGGAAGAGGTGAAACTACCTCTATTCACAACATGATCATGAAAATAGAAAATCCCAAAGAATCCACAAGAAAGCTACTAGAGCTAACAAACAAATTCAGTTAAGTTGCAAAGTATAAGACCAACACACAAAAATCATTTGTTTCTACACACCAGCAATAAACATTATGAAAAGGAAATTTAAAAAGCAGTTCCATTCACAACGATATCAAAAAGAATTAAATACCCTGAAAACTACAAAACGTTGCTAAAAGAAATTAATGAAAACCTAAGTACATGGAAAGGCATTCTGTGTTCATAGACAGAAAGACTTAAAATTAAGCTGTTAATACTACCCAAAGTGATCTGCAGATTCAACACAATCTCTATCAAAATTACTACAGCTTTTGTCTCAGAAATGTAAAAGCTGATCCTTAAATGCATATGAAATTTCAAGGGGCCTCGAATAGCCAAAACGATATTAAAAAGAATAAAGTTAGAGGACTCTTACTTTGAAACTTAGTAGAAAGCTACAGTAATGAAAACATTACGATACTAGCTTAAAGACAGACATATAGTGCAATGTAATAGAATAGAGAGCTCAGAAGTAAACCTTCCCATATATAGTCAGTTGATTTTCAACAAAGATGCCAAGACCATTGAATTGGGGAAACGACAGTCTTCAAAAGATTGAAGGCAAAACGCTATACACACGCAAAAGAATGTAGTTAGGTACAGCAGTGGTGACGATTTTACAACATTGTGAATATACTTAATGTCACCGAAGTTTACACCTAGAAATGATTAAAATGATAAATACTATGCGTGTTTTACCACAGTAGCTTCCCCCCACGCCTCCTCCAAGCAGCAACTGGATTGGCAAGAAGGAAAAAGACTCTAGAAGGAGAAAGTTTTCTCGTCGGCAAGCTGCGTGGACGATGCCGTTCACCCATACAAGGATTACAGGAGATAAGAAGAATCAGGTCTACCAGTGAACTTGAGATAATGAAAAGGTAGATTAACGTTGGGACAATCAACTGGAGACGTCTTCTAGGCAGCCTGGCCCTGGAGCTCAGGAGAGCTGTCTGGGCTGATGACAGAAGACTGTAAATGGTCAGCACTCTCCAGGTAACGGAGGCCAGGAGAAAGCAAGAATCCCCGAGAAGCAGCAACATCCAAAAGAAGGCGAGGTAAACCTCCCTCTGCTTTCAGGGTTCCAATGAGGCGAGAACACATTCCTAGGCGGGAAACACTTACCAAGGCGTAAACGCAGAGGCGCCTTTCGCGCCTATGCGGGCTGCAGACGGTCGAGGCCCGGGTCGAGCGGAGCCGCGGAGAAACCGGTGCCCCAGGCGCTAAGGAGCCGCCGCACCTGAGATCGCGCGAGCCGTCGCTTGCAGCAGGGATCCCGCGACCGTGTCTGCACCCCGCCCCCAGCGCGGAAAGTCCCTCTCGCGGCCCCGTCGGCCTCCGAGCCTTCCGATTGGCGGACAGGACCATGGGACCTGGAAGTTGTCTCTGTCCAGCGAGGGCTGCCCTTCCGGTTCCGTTGGGTCCCCCTTTGGCTCGGGTTCCCTGCCCCTCCCCCTTTCCGGAGCCCCGAGGGGCCGGAGCTCCTAGCGGTGCCGGATCCTGACGGCGGCCTTCCCCTGGGTCTGTAAGTGCGGAGGCGGCCGGAGCACCGGGCAGGGGTACGGGGTCTCTCAGGATGGAGCCCCATTGGGGCCTTGGATTGGCCAGGAACAGCACTGGGATGGGGGCCGAGGGGCTGGCTTAGGCCCGGGGGGACTTAAGGAGCCCTTGGCCCAGCCTACGCCGCGCCCCGCCCCTTTCCCTTCCCTCTTCTGCTGTGGGTAGCTTAAAGATGCTCCAGGGAACTCCTCCTGGGACCCCAGCCGAGGGCCCAGCAGTTGGCATGGATGCCCGACCCTGGCTGATTGTAGGAAGTGCCGAAGTGAGGCCCTGGCAAGGCCTCAGTGCCAGCCTGCGAGAATCACTATGAGGTTACCCTTTGGCCGGGATTTTCCGAAATCTGTTACTGGCTACAACACTTTTTAGACTACTGGCACTGTGCCAGGCACTGGGGATTCGTAAGAAATGGTTCCAGTTTTCGCGGTCAAGTTTGGGAGCCAAATATAAACAAATGAATGCTCTTACATGTGTATCAGTCATATATGTATGAACTGCACAAGGGGCAATTGCTGGGAAGGCTGAAGAAAGTGACCTCTGAATTATAGTTCTTGGCGAGGATAAGGTGGAGAAGAGCTTTTCAGGTAGAAGGAACAGTTGCAATGCTGTGAAGGAATGGCTGAGCATAACTTGTGTGGGAAGAGGGCGGGGTGGCTCTTGTTCATGGAAGAAATGAGGCTGGGAAAGTAGACCGAGGTCCAGATAGTGAAAGGTTCAGTCCCAAAGGAGATGAATAGTTTTTGAAGAGTTTTGACCAGGAGACTTGATAGGGTCAGATTTGCGCTGTAGAAAGCCACGTTCTGGAGGTCGGCCTATAGAACAGGAATTTCTATCAACTGATTCCGGATTCTTTAGCTAAAGTCTAGGTACTCTTACTGGAAATTCTTTTGTAGGAGTAATGAGATCAGTCTAGTGAGAGGTCATGAAGTTCTGAAATCGAGTTATGACAGTATTATTACTCTACAGTTTGAAGGAAGGCAAGTTTGTTGTACTGAATGGTGTCACGACTCCATAATAAATTGGGCATTGAGGATGAGAGAGGTACCAGCCTCTTAGACCTTCAATAGTTGAAGAATGTTGATGCTAGCTAGCATCAGCAATAAAACCATAATCTTAGTGTAGATTACAAATTTATTTTTTAAATACATTGAATTAAAGGTCTACTGGAACTGTCCAGTATAGGGTTGGAAGTGCAGATCCGCAGCTTAGCCTGTGGCTAGAGGTAAAGGTTTGAGTCATCAACATAGAGGTGGAAGCCGTGGGAATAGTTGGCATCAGGAAGGGATTATTGAGAAAGAAGGCAATAATTCGGGGGAGTGGTTGCATTTATGAAGCAGAAAGAGTAATGGTTGGTGTAGTGGCAGAAACAAGTAAAGGATAAATCATGAGTGCAGAGTTCCAGCAACCAAGAAGACCCAGAAATCAAGAAAAGAGAATTTTGAGAAGTGTTCACTGGAGAGCATTGGGGGAGTGAGGGGAAAAAAAGTTTGCATTTCTTTATTAAGAGATCATTAGCGACCTTTTAAAAAGCAATTTTAATAGCGTGATGAGGTGACGATACCTGAAATAATGGAGACCTCAACTGGTTTGGTGTTAGAGAATGAGAGTGAGAAAAGGCCACATACGAAGGGTTTCAAGGGGAAAATTCACAAGCTTTATTTGTTTACCTAACAAACCCTTATAGAGCACGTTCCAGGCACTGTTCTAAACTCTTTTTAAAATGAACTTAAAAATTTAAATGTAATTTAATTTCCCATAACAACACTATGAAGTAAAATTACTATTTGACAGGAGGGAAAACTGAAACACAGAAGTGGTTAAGTAACTTGCCCAAGGTCACACGGATACTAAGTGGGTGAACAGGGTTTTTGACCATAGGAAATATGGCTCCAGAATCCGTGGTTTTACACCACTCCACTCAGCAGTGACTAAATTTCAGAGTCAAAGGAGTGGGAAAAATTTAAGCAAGGTAGGCTCATTGATAAAAAAATGGAGAGGCTTGGAAGGAGATCCAGATTAAGAAGAAGGTAAGTAATGAATTTATGTTTGTTATATATTTGTTTTTTTATTTCTTTTTCTTTCTTTTTTTTTTTCCTCTGTCTTAGAGCCTTTTCCAATCTGTGTCATTTTAGGTCAGTTTCTTTCACAATTAGGTCAGTTTATATCATGCTTTCATCTATCACTTATTTCTAATCCTGTCTCCTCTTTAGCTCTAGACCCGTATCCAGCTAGCTAATGGATCTTCCCCTTCATTTCATGCTGGCTCCTCTGACTAAACATTTTAAGACCAGACCCATGGTCATCCCCTCTAATATTCCCTAGCTTATTAAATGACACTCTCAAAGACATCCGGTTACTCAAACCAAATATCTTGGAGTCATCTTGACCTTTCTTTTCTTGTTCTCCACTTTAGTCACTAAGTCCATCAGTTCTTTGTTTGAAATACCTCCGAAATTTGTGTCTTCTCTCCATCCTTATTATTGTTGTCTCTATCAGGCCCTCATCGTTTCTATCTTGATCTGTTAGAGTAATAGGACTCTAACAGGTTTCCTTGCCTCCATATCCACTGGTCTCAGGGCCATCCTCCATACATTTTTATTTTTGATGTATTGAGTTTTAGACAGTGCAGGCGTTTAGATATCACACATTTCAAGTGATAGAATAATAGCCTAGGGCAGATATTAGTTCGAGGTAGTTTGAATTGAGGTTAAGTTTGGTTATGATTGGCCATGAGTGTGGGGAGTTAGGAATTTTTAAATAGAGAAGCTAATAAAACATTGAGAAACCAGACAGCCTTCCCGAGGAAGTAAGCCTTGAAAAAAAAAAAGGAAAAAATCAAGGACTAAGCTGTAAAGGATATACTTACTGTTACACAGTTTAGTGAACCCCTCGAGGAACAGACCAGCCTAAGGATGGTAGAAACTGAGGCCAGTAACTAAGTAGCTTGCCCACTTCTGTACAACAGGTTAAGAAGAATGAACTAGATCTGTTTATTCAACGTATACAGCTCTCAAAAACAATAGATGAAAAAAGGAAGTTGCAAAACTACATATAGTTTATGTATAAGAAACAATTTTATTTTATATTTTCTGTGGCTAGGCATATAGAAGTGTTGTTATTAAAATGGGGGGAATGCTATTCATGAAGGACCAAACTTAGAACAAACTGAGTACTAAGCAAAAGGTAGTTGGGAAAGAAGACTTTTTCTTCATAATGTTCAAAATTTTTCCAGGGAGGATATATTTCTGTATATATTACTTAGAACTACAAATTTAAACAAAAGAGTGAAAACTTGGAGGATACAGTGTTGTGAACGTTACCCAAAAGAAGAAAAGGATTGAGGTTTATAGAGAGAAAGACTCTAGTGTATTATTATGACCTCTTTGAAGGTGGCATGTGGTGTTAATGAAAGAGAAAGATTTCAAGTAATTGTGAGTGCTAAGTTGAAAGATAAAGGCACTTTTAGGAGGTAGATGAGGAAGCAGACTGACATATAACTTAGGAGTTTATTGTACAGAGTAGAAAAGTTTTCCTTATCAGGAGTTATTACAGACATTTGAGAGAAACTCACTGCCCGTGGCACACCAGTGAACATTGTCTAAGTCTAACTTAGAATATTCACTAAGCCTTTTTGGTTACTCATGTTTGACCAACGAGAAATTTTCCAACCAGTTATACTTAGAAGTTAACTACAGTTGGGGATTCTGAAAATCAAATATACTCATCATTTTAATTCTCCGTTTTCTTTGCAAATAGCATGCAGTTTCAGTCTACAAAGATAAATACACAAAAGATGGAAAAATAACATGAAGTTAAAATAGGTGAGAAAGGATGACAAAACAAGGTTAAGGGAATAAAATGCAACCAGGAATATGACTAATACATAAATGGCTTACTTATTTGGCTATAAGCTGTACTTTGTTTTTAAACATAAACCTTTTATTGAACTAAATACACAAAAGCATATAAATCACAAGTGTATAACTGGATGAGTGTGAGCAGGGAAATCTGAAAAGTTCTACAGTTGACATCCATAAGATAAAACTTCATCTAGCCTGGTTATTCAACGCATGTATTTTGGCATCATGAAGCTCAGATACAAGTTCCAGCTCTAAGGCTTAATTAACACTTTCCACCTCTCTTAAATTGAGGAAGTTATTTATCTTCTCCAAGCTTGAATTTCCTCATATGCAAGGTGGGGATGATAATAATACCTACCTCATAGGGATTTTGAAAATTATGTGGGTCAATTTAGGTAAAGCTCTTAGCACTGTAACTGGTACATAGCAAGCCTTCAGTAAAGATTAGCTATCATTTTTCTAATTTTTAAATAAAATTAAGCCAGTTCATTAAGCCAGTTGTTTCTTTTAATTTCTCATTTTTAAAAAGTGAAAGAAAAATAACATTTTTGAAAAATTTGGTTTTATATTATCAAAACTATTTTGAAAATAAACCCCAGGACACTCAAAAGATGATTGTGTAATTTATTGAAAATGAAGAGCATCTCTACCACAGCTCAATAATAATTTCTTAGGGAACATTAAGAGTTAATAATTCTGTTGGCTTTTGTTGAATGAGCTGTGTAAAAATTAACAGTCGGTCCTTGCCCTCAAATAATTAACAGTCTATTGGAAAGAGAAACTTTCCAGTGACAGGAAACAATTGAGAGTTAAACTTGTGCCCTGGAAATAAGAGTTTATCAGAAGGAGACAATACAGTGGGCTGACACATATTAGGGAAAATGTCTCAGAATAAATGTTCCTCACATTCTTGGGCTATAGCAGACCAGTCAATGTAATAAGCACTTTCCTGGGATACCTGTTTGGCTGGTCAAAGTCGGTAAGTTTCTTGAGACTGATGGGTAGGAAGTAAATGAAACTGTACTCAGCTCCTCATCTTTGGAACTTCAAGGAACAGTTATCCCTGAAGATAATTGTCTAAAGCATTGTGAGTACTGTCACACGATAAATGGAAGCCATTAATGCTCATTTTTAGGTGTGAGTGGGAAAATACTGACCCGAGGGTAGATTTAAGACAAGCTAAACTCTAAAAGAGAATGCCCCTTTTGTTTGGCAACTTGAAACAATAGTCATTTTTATAAATCCGGTTATAAATTGGGATATTTACTCTTTCCAGAATGAACATGTTAAGCTACTGTAATAGCTCAAAGGGACCAGTGATGATACAGTTTTGCTGCTTTCTTTACTGATATATTCCCTGTATCTCCTAGATTTTTCCTTTATATTTGATATTCACCTACTTTTCTCTGATGTAACATTAGCTTGTCTACATCCCTCCTCTCATATTTATAGTGATGGTTCATTGTACATTCAGAATGCCACACAAGGGAAAAGCGTATTAATTTATGTATGTATTTTTTTGTTAATATACCTGTGCCATACCAGTTCTCCCTCCTAAATTTCACCTTCCTTTCAATAATAGTTTCAGTCACCTGAACTGTTTAAGTTTAGAACCTTTTACACATTCCTTTTTTCTCATTCTCTGTATCCAGTAAGCTACCTAGTTCTTTGAAATATCTTTTATTGTTTTTCCTTGCTCTTTATTCCCATTTTCATTCCTTTCTAGGCTCTCATGGCCTCAGACCTGTAATGTACCTGCAGACGTTGAGCTGGTCTTTCTAACGGCAATTCCTCCTTCTCGCCACTGTCAAACAAATCCTCTAAGTTCAATAAACGCAAACTTAGCACTGCCATGTGTTTAGTACGATATTAGGTGGCAGGAATACACACCAGTTTGAACAGAAGAGGGTTGGGCCAGTTATTTGGCTGCAGTAAGTAGAAGTTGAAGCAAAAGGAAACTATTTTCATTAGAAGATGCAGGTTCCCAACATCAGCCCATTGACTAGGATAGATAGTAATGGCGTGAAGTTTGCAGTTTGGCATGGAAGGAACAAGTATTTAATAAAATATTTTGAATGTTATGATAGAATTAATTGGTCCAGTAGAAACAACTGTTCTAGTCTAAGGGGTCAAGGAAGGGCCTCTCAGGGGAAATAAAGGAGTCAAAACTGGCTAGGAATAGTGTTCTAAAGTGAAGAAATAACTGTGCTAGGGCTTGGCATCAATAGAGTGCTATCATGCACCAGGCACTGAGCAATATCAGTGATACCTGGACTCTGCCTTCAGAAACTGGTGTCCTATGAACCTTTGTCAGTCAATGTTATGGAGGATAAGATATAAAGATTGGGCTTCAGGATCCAGATGTGGCCAGGAGCAGCTGGTTGTTTCATATGATTCTCAACTACAGAGTTGATGAATGCACAACGTTCAAGGTGAATTTATTGATGCACTGAGATTACAGAGCTATTTCTCAAGGGTAGACCCGATCATACCTACACTCTCACAGAAGACTGATACATACACAGAGTGCTGGTTTATTATTTTTGCAATGGCTGGCGGACTGGAATTATCATGGTAGCATGGCTAATTCATCCTTCGCTTTAAAGAGGCACATGGGAAGCCAGTCGTTTGGAGAGGATGGAATCAGAACATGGGGAATTTCTCCAAAGGAATTGCTATATAAAGGGACAAATACGCAGTGCGTTTTGGCAAAGGACCTTCTCCCTGGTTGAATGGGTTATGCCAATATTTACCTTAATTATTATTAGGTTTATTTAATCAGTTTATACTCAAGAAGTTAGTCTTCATCTAGGAGACAATAGGAAGTCACAGAAGGATTTCAAGCAGGGGTTGGATATAATCAGATAGGTGTTTTTGAAAGATGACATGTGGTCATGTCAAAGTTAGGTTAGAGGGAATAGAAGCTGGAAGCCAAGGAACATTTATGAATCAGTTCTAGTTGTCTGGTTGGTGAGTAATAATGGATAAATAGGGATAAAGAAGAAAGAACAGAAACTAGTGAGGATTAGTTAGATCTACCTTACTCCTACTCAGATTCTCACTAAGTGGCTCATCTGGTTTTTCTGTATTAAATATTTTATTTACTTTGTAGATCAAGAAATGTTTCTTAAGAGAGAGTTTAGGTTTGTCCGAAATGCACAGGATAAAGACCTATGCCTTTGACACTATCTAAATGTTATTCCTTTAGCTCTGTAATTTTCATTTTATCACAGAAATACTTGCGTGAATAAATTCACATCAATTTCTTTTTTTTTTCTTTTCTTTTTTTTTTTTTTTTTAGGCGAGGCAACCCTTGGTTGACTCTCACAGATTGCAAGTACCTTGTCAGCTTACAATCTCTTATTTTTTACGCCTACAGCACCTGGTCTTCCTAGGCGGTCTCCCATCCAAGTACTAACCAGGCCCGACCCTGCTTAGCTATCGAGATCAGACGGGATCAGGCTTGTTCAGGGTGGCATGGCCGTAGACCACATCAATTTCAACACAAGAGGATTTACCGAGGAATGGGGCAAGCCATGCCACTGCAGTTCTTTAAAATACAAAGCAAAGGAAAAGTGTTTTTTATTTGAAGAAGCAGGTTCACAGTATCATGCAAAATAAAAGTGCTACTTCATTATTACTTGTTGCCATGTTTTAGTTCGTTTTTGAAACCTGATAGAATTTTCATTTTATAAGCAAAAAAAAAAAAAAGATCTTGGAGTAATTCAAGCACTGTTCTTGTTAAGTATCTTACAAAGTTGAATGAATGCCAAACTATTTACACTGATGCAGGTCCACTCCTTAGGTGCAATTGACACTTGATATTGGCAAGGAGTATGGAGTATTTTTCACAGCCTTTGAAAGCTGCTATTCTGCTTCCTCTTTCAAGGAAAATTTCATTTGGATACATACAAACAGATATGACAACATGAATTTGGTTTTGGAAGGAAAATCCAGGTTTCTTAATTGTTTGAATTTTCTTAAATTCATCCTTTTTACATTTCTGTTCTTTAGGTCTGCCAAAATGTCTGAAAGATCAGATCTCCTTCACTTCAAGTTTGAAAATTATGGAGATTCAATGTTACAAAAAATGAACAAATTAAGAGAAGAGAATAAATTTTGTGATGTTACAGTTCTCATAGATGATATTGAGGTACAGGGGCATAAAATTGTGTTTGCCGCAGGTTCCCCCTTCCTAAGAGACCAGTTTTTACTGAATGATTCCAGAGAGGTGAAAATCTCCATATTACAGAGTTCCGAAGTGGGCAGACAACTGCTCTTATCCTGTTATAGTGGTGTGCTGGAATTTCCTGAGATGGAACTGGTAAATTACTTGACTGCTGCGAGTTTTCTTCAGATGAGCCACATTGTAGAACGGTGCACACAGGCCCTGTGGAAGTTTATAAAGCCAAAACAAGCAATGGATAGTAAAGAGGGATGTGAACCGCAGAGTGCTTCTCCCCAGTCAAAAGAACAGCAGGGAGATGCCAGAGGCTCCCCAAAGCAGAACTCACCTTGTATTCATCCATCTGAAGACAGTATGGATATGGAGGACAGTGATATTCAGATTGTTAAGGTAGAATCTATTGGGGATGTATCAGAGGTTAGAAGTAAAAAAGATCAGAACCAGTTTATTTCTTCTGAACCCACTGCTTTACATTCATCAGAGCCCCAGCACTCCCTGATAAATTCAACTGTGGAAAACAGAGTAAGTGAAATAGAACAGAACCATCTCCACAATTATGCCCTCTCTTACACAGGCAGTGATAACATCATCATGGCCTCAAAAGATGTCTTTGGGCCTAATATTCGAGGTGTAGACAAAGGCCTACAGTGGCATCATCAATGCCCAAAGTGTACCAGGGTGTTTCGTCACCTGGAGAACTACGCCAACCATTTAAAAATGCACAAACTCTTTATGTGTCTACTCTGCGGCAAGACTTTTACTCAGAAAGGCAACCTTCATCGACACATGCGTGTGCATGCCGGCATTAAACCTTTCCAGTGTAAGATCTGTGGGAAAACCTTTTCTCAGAAGTGTTCCTTACAGGATCATCTTAACCTTCACAGTGGAGATAAGCCCCATAAGTGTAACTATTGTGACATGGTTTTTGCACATAAGCCAGTTTTGAGGAAACACCTTAAACAGCTGCATGGCAAAAACAGCTTTGATAATGCCAATGAAAGAAATGTGCAAGACCTCACAGTGGATTTTGATTCTTTTGCATGTACAACAGTCACAGACTCTAAAGGGTGTCAGCCACAGCCTGATGCAACACAGGTCCTGGATGCAGGTAAACTGGCCCAAGCTGTCCTGAACTTGAGGAATGATAGTACTTGTGTGAATTGAGTAGGGGCTTTATGCTCGTAACTAGAACTGACTGAAAACGTGGCAATAGTCCGAGTCTTTTTAGGAGTGATATTGCTAGTTTGACTTCTCCAAAGCCTCTGTACAGGTTGTAGGGGTGAATCAAAGCACTAACAGACCAGGCAGCTTAACCACTTGGAGTGGTCTTGCCTGCCTTTTGCCCTTTCCCATTTTCTGTTTTGAATTATCTTGTGACATCTGTTATCCTTTCCAAGGAGTAGTCCATTTGTCTACCTAACACTGACTTATGTTTTAGACTGACACCATTTTAGGCTTTTCACTGGACACATTCTGAAGGTACCAACAAGTATAGGTACCATCGCCTATACTCCACTAATAGATGCTATGCCAAGAAATGATATTTTTCTTTGGCAGAAAATAGGCTGGGATCTAAGGTGATGTTAGTATTGGCCTGAATATGTGATAGAACTTCTGGTTGCCTATTGATAATTCATCTGTGTATGACGAATGAATGAATCTGCTTTCTACCATTTGTACTTTTCTTGAAGCTCGCTATAAAAAAATATTTTTGGTTGTTCTATACTCTGATTTTCAACAGTATTATGGCCCAACTTCATGTCATTGAATTGTTCACAAAAACCATATTTGTACAATCTTAAGCAATACCGGCAGACATAGGTAGGAATCACCATGAGGAGCGTAATCAAGAAGGACAGAAGTACAGTAATAGTACAACAGTTATGTACATGGGGGGCGGTCTTCCCAAAAAGAAGCTTACAATTAATATGTAATTTATTTGTTGATGCTTTTGAAGTCAAGATGGCTCCAGGCATACTTATAATGGTCTCTCTAAAACAGCGCTATTTGGGAGTCGGTCTCCAGATTCTGTTTTAGAGGTTAACCATCAGAAAGGTGTTTAGCCTTCGGAGTTTGTCCAGTGTGCAAACGGTCTTTGAATTCACATTTTCCCACGTACCTTAATTTCTAAAATAGATGAAAAAAGTGAAGCACGGAAAGGGCAATCAGGTTTTTTGCATTCAGATATCCCTATAAAGGTACACAGTCTCACCTTGCCATGTTAGATGGCAGATTCATAGTTGTTCTTCCAATATGGAAAACAGAACAACTGTTTTTCCTAAAGCACATAGTATAGTTCAGAAATAGAAACTTGAGTTGTATTAGTTTCTCACCCATGAGGTAGACGTAGGTAATAGAAGTATTAGAGCCCTTAGAGAATCTTAAGAAACCATTTACTCCACCTCTTTTTTTTTTTTTTTTTAATTGGGGTATCCAAAGCCCAAAGAGGTGGCCTGGCCAAGGCTGGCCAAAGTAGATAAATAACTAAACATGAGCTGTTGTTGCCTCATCTCTTCTATCTCTTGGCTTGAAAAGATTTAGTACATGATCAAGAATACATTCGCAACAAGCTCACCTTTGTGAATCCCTGTTGGCTTTCTGAGACAGCTTGGATTTTGCAAACAAAATATCAAATATCACAGGATTTACTTTTGTTAATTATATTTTGGTTAGAATGAATATTACATTCTTCCCAAGCAAGTGACTGATTCGTTGGGTATTGGTTAGGGAGGGAAAGGACAAGTCAGAATAAATGAAAAGGATCCAAATGTGAAACTGATTTTGTCTGGAAACTATTTGGTTTCCATCAGGATTTTCTGTTTTTATTTTTGAACTGTGAGAGTGCATGTACAGATAAACAAAAAATTAGCTTTGAGTAGTCAGAGGGAATTCTTAAAATTGTTATAATTTGATGCATTTACATATTAATCTGATTTGAGGTATAATTTATACCTTTTGTTAAAATACTTAAAATGAGAATAAAACTGATAAGACTAGTAGGTATCTTATGCCTAAAGTCACTCATATGGTCTAATGATGCTGCCTAGCGTTGATTTTTATATGATCCAGCCAAAGAGTACCAATTCTATGCAACAATGAGACGCTAACATGTTAGCCACTATTTTCTCTGAACATCATTTCATCACAGAAATTTCAAGCTGGAGTGCTTCCTTTGCTTGCATTCACATCCCGTTTTTGTTACTGGTTTGAAAACTAAATGGTGTGGGTTCAAATAAGATTGGTCTCTTTGGTTGGAGACTATTACTGGGTTCATTCGGTCATTCAAGAAACATTTATTGCCAGGCACTATGCTAGATACGACAATAAGAAGGTAAGATTGCTGTCGTCTCTGCCCTCACAGAGCTTACAGTCTCATGTGATCTTCAGGAGACAAGATGTCGATTTGATTTTATACTAGAAATAATAAAGGAAACTGCTTTGCTTTCTTTGACCACTTAAACTCAGCATCTTGATGGTTTTGTATCAGTAAAATTTATAGTTCCCACCTTTTGTAACTGCAAACCACTGAAATGATTTACAGTCTCCTCCATTTCTTGGCTGGAGAGGTGTTCTGTTTCTGTGAGACGTTTTCTTAATTTTGCTGGGACTTGACTTTTCTCCTGTTTATACATATTTCTTAGATTGTATTGCAGAGTGGTCAGTTATTGATATAAAATACGTTTTATAGGGGAAGATGACTTTCCAAACTAGTCATATTCTTATAGAGGAAGATTTTTAAAAACCTTAGTTATTCAGCATTTGTATTGTATGGATCCTTAGGATAACTAAAAAGGAGAGAACACTCTCTTTACCATAGTTTGTATTTTAAAAAAAATTACTGTCACAATTATTTATTTATTATTTAATTTTAAAGACAAACTCCAAACCGAAGTGGCTCTGAGGTAAATCAGATGTGGTTTTAATTTGTTTTAGTTTCTTTATTAGAAGATCTATAAATGGAGGGTGACCAGTGTCACTACTTTTAAAACATTGTCCTAAACAAACAACCCAGAACATTTTATTTCAGCTGGTGAATAGCTGTTCTAAATCTGTTGTATGTTAGACATACTACGAACTACCTCTTCACTTATTATGGGGAAGTTTCCTTAATAAAAGTGTGACAAAGCTCTGGTGTGAGTAGTTTATTTTCTCTCTCCCTTCCTACTTTCCTTTTCAGTTGCTTGAATTTTAATACAGGCATGCTTTCTTCATTCCTGTTCTTTAAAACATATTAAACATGTTGAGCTTGGCTTCAGAAGCAAATCTGGGTTAACCAGAAATTGTTACTATGGTCAGTTACTTCCACGAGAACCTGTTGACTCTGGGTAGAACAACAGCTTTTAAAAATGGGTTTAAACAATTCTTTCATTTGGCGAATACTCGATGCCTAAGTGCTAGACTTAAGGAATGCAAAGATCAGTAAGGCACCGTCCTAAATACCTCTGCCTAGATGGGGCACAGATTTCAACACAGAAATGATAATTGCAATAATGAAGGCAGCCAAAGGGTTGACAGGCTCCTAATTGAGAGCCAGCTAATTCAGGGGCAGTTCACGATGGCTTCAGGGATGACTGAATTTTGAAGGACAAAGGGTAGGAGGGATTGGGCAAGCCAGACCAACAGTTTAGATGGAAGGCCTTCGTTTGCCCGGAACTGGGGGAAGGAGGGTTGGGGAGTGGGCGGAGGAGAACCAAAAAGGAAGCGATAGGTAGCGTGAAGAGAGCCAGAGGTTGGGGACAGAGCCTGATGGGGCATTAGCTAGGCAATCTCGAATACTGATCCCTATGGCAGTCTTCTTTCCTCCGCCTTTTGAATTGTAGATGGCCCATTAAGGAGAGAGCCTCCCAGCGGTCCTGGCGCAGGATACTCTGCAAGAAGCGCTGTACCCCAACTTCACAACCCGTCTGCGATTGGGAAGTTGGGGAGAACTCACGAAGGGCAACGGCTCACGTGCCGAAACTGGGACCGACGAGATGAGATTTGCCGGAATTCGGGGGGCCTTTTTGCCTTTCCAGGGCCGCGGGGTACGGGGTATGAGGAAGGGAGAATGACTCAGAATGTCCTTCCGGGACGCGCAGCCCGCCTGGGGAGGAAAAGAGCTGGTTGACACCGGATGTGCTTCCTCCCAGGCTAAGCCCACCTTCCGGCCCGGGCTGCCGCTGCCGCGGAAAGCTTGGCTCTGGTTTTCCGAGTGGGTGAGTGAGCGCGGGGGAGACTCGGACAGGTGGGGAAGCCTGAGGAAAAGAAGGGAGGCTGGGCGCGGCCCGGGAGTGGCCAGACCGGTGCTGCCGACAGGGCCTTGGTCCTGGCAGCCTTGGCTTGGGAAGACCTGTGGCAAGCTGGTGCATCTTCCAGGCCACCGGGGATCCGGATTCAGCTCCTACTGTGTGCAGGTCCCCTAGGCGCTCTGCAGGAACTCATGAACCAGGCACCATTTCGTCGTGCGCTGGAAGCAACCGATTCTGGTGGAGAGATAGGAGGCAGAGTCACAAAAGTCTTATTTGATTTGGGCCTTAAAGGAGACAAATCGCTAGCTGGGAAAAGTAACATGGAAGCGCAAGTGTAACATGTGCAAAGGTGCATTCGGGTCTTCTTTGGGCAGTGGCGAAAACCTGGACATAAAAGGAGCTTCGATGAAAGAGAATAAAAGAAAGATAAAGCCATAGAGATGCTTAGGGCCAAACCATAAAGGATCTCGTATTTGCTAAAAAGTTAGTCTGTCCTGGAGTTAGAGTGGAGCAATGGAGGATGTAAAGCAGGAGAGGGTAAAAAAGAAGTTTTAAAAGATGTTAATTTTGGTGGCACTCAAGCGGATAATTTGCAATATAGGAGCTTGTGGTATCAAGGCGACCTGTTGAAAGACATTGCAATCAATGACTGAGGTCAACAGAATGAGGACCTGAAGTAGCGATGGGGAGTAGGAAGTTTGAAGATTACATTAAGTTTTTCTAATTTGGGAAACTCATAAATCCATTTAGCAATGCGCATTAACAATGTCCTTGACCACAAGGCACATAAATTTAGCCGAGGAGAAAAACATCGATACTTACGTACAATTCAATGTAAAGAGTGCTGTGAAAAAAACATAAAATGTGCCATGAGATCATAGAGAAATGCATTTTAATTTTCTGATTTTTGAGATGGTGGCATAGGGGTTCACTTGTAGCACCCAGATTAGAATTTGAGTCTTCGTTTTACCCAGCTCAGGTTTGAAATTTGCATGTTTGTTTGTTTTTACTGTCACAGTGTAAGAAAGCATTCCTTATCTCTACATCAATGTTTGTGTTTTGTTTTGCTTAGATTGTGACCATGGCTGCTGAGTCTGATGTTCTGCACTTCCAATTTGAACAGCAAGGAGATGTTGTCTTGCAGAAAATGAATCTCTTGAGACAGCAGAATTTATTTTGCGATGTGTCAATTTATATTAATGACACTGAGTTCCAGGGGCACAAGGTGATTTTAGCTGCTTGCTCCACTTTTATGAGAGATCAGTTTTTACTCACACAGTCAAAACATATCAGAATCACCATCTTGCAGAGTGCAGAAGTTGGCAGAAAATTGTTGCTCTCTTGCTATACTGGAGCACTCGAAGTTAAAAGGAAAGAGCTTTTAAAGTATTTGACTGCTGCTAGTTACCTTCAGATGGTTCACATTGTGGAAAAGTGCACAGAAGCTTTGTCAAAGTATTTGGAAATTGATCTTTCTATGAAAAACAATCAACATACCGACCTGTGTCAATCCTCTGATCTGGATGTTAAGAATGAAGAAGAAAACTCAGATAAAGAATGTGAAATAATTGAAATTTCAGAAGATAGCCCTATAAACATAGATTTCCACGTTAAAGAAGAGGAAAGCAATGCTTTACAGTCCACAGTAGAGAGCTTGACATCAGAGAGAAAGGAAATAAAGTCACCAGAGCTGTCAGTAGATATAGGTTTTAAAGACAGTGAAATTTGTATCCTCCATGTGGAATCTATCAGTACTGGCGTAGAAAATGGGCAGTTTTCACAGCCTTGCACCTCTTCAAAAGCAAGCCTGTATTTCTCTGAAACACAGCATTCACTGATCAATTCTACGGTTGAGAGCAGAGTGGTAGAAGTTCCTGGGAATCAAGATCAGGGCTTGTTTTGTGGGAATACGGAAGGAAGTCATGGTACAGCGAATGAGATTCAAAATGTGGAGGATGTTTATTCACTGAGGCACCAGTGCCCCAGGTGTCCTCGAGGATTTCTTCATGTCGAAAACTATCTGCGCCACCTTAAGATGCATAAACTATTCTTGTGCTTACAGTGTGGGAAAACATTTACACAGAAGAAAAATCTCAACCGCCATATTCGAGGGCACATGGGCATAAGGCCCTTTCAGTGTAGTGTGTGCTTGAAGACATTTACTGCCAAAAGCACGCTGCAGGACCACTTGAACATACACAGCGGGGATCGGCCGTACAAATGCCACTGTTGTGACATGGATTTCAAGCACAAATCTGCCCTCAAAAAGCATTTAACCTCTGTCCATGGCCAGAGCAGTGGTGAAAAATTACCTAGGCATGATCTCAAAAGGCAAAATCTGTTATAATTAGAATCACACTTGCTCTGTAAGCCTTATGTCATTCTATTAGGCAAGTCTTTCTGTAGACATGCAACATTTGTAATATTGCATTTGCCCCCCATTTTGGGTCTTATTTTTGGTCTGCCTACATGTTATTCTTTCAGAACTACCAGTTCCAAAGTGTAGGAGACATGATAAAGCTGATGGGATGCTATCTTGTCTCATGCATTATATATAAATCCCAGTGGTATACCTAGAGAAATACTGTTCTTCTTTTAAATATTCTTCATTCTAGTGACAAAGGATCCAGCAGTATTTCTGGATTGTGATTTTGAGTCTCTAGATAATTGATAAAAGTGCAAAATCCAACCATATAATAACTTTAACAAATTAGGATAATGGGAAGAGAAAATAAATTTTAAAAGTTATTCATTATTAGTTATTTTAAGAATAGATAGGACTAGTGAATTTTTTTTTTTTAACCAACAGCTATTGGATTGTAAACTAAACACCAAGGTACGTGTTGTTTTAAACTCTAAAGGAACACAATTCATATTCACTTGATTGTAGCAGAATTTCCTTATACATGGGTTAATATTCTTTACAGTACTATTTCCACGATTTGTTGATATATTTTTTACAAATGGTTAATTGGGCCTGAATGTCTTGATTTTATTTAATGCAGTTTCATTTAATAATTTTGTGGCCAGTAAAATTATACCTTTGGCTCAAAGCTCTAAAAAATTACTTAGAAATTCCAACTTTACCAAAGATATTTGTTCTACTCTTTCTTTTTTTTAATTTATTTTTTATTTAACATATAGTAAAATTGACCTTTGTCAATTTTGTACCTATGTATAGAAATGGTGTCCTCAAAACACTAGTGCAAACATCTTTGAGGTCATCAGGTGAAGAAACACTTCCCATATCTAACAGCTTCTCCTTGCTCGTTTCTTGAACAGTGATGCCCGCTGCTAAACGATTTGTTTTTGGTGTACAGTTTCATGAATTTTAACACATGTATAGATTTGTGCAACCACCACTGCAATCAGGGTACAGAACATTCCATCACCCCACAAAACTCCCTTATGCTGCCCCTTTGTAGTCAATTCCTCTTCCTAACTCTTAAGTCCTGGTACCAGTTCTCTATTGCTATAGTTTTGCCTTTTCTGTAATGCCATAAATGGCATCTTAGAGTATGTTCCCCTTTGAGATGTTTTTTTCACGTAGCATTATGCCTTTGAGATTCATCCATGTTGTGTGTATCAATAGTTTATTCCCTTTCTTATTTTGAATTGTCAGTATAAATTTTATTGCTGTCACTAGGTGAACAGTTTAAACATGAGTATTCATGTTCTCGTAATTATTAATAACTTCATTAACATTAATGCAATTTTTACTTACTATGTGTTGACAGAAATTTTAACCATCTCTAGAGTTTTATGCTATCTTTCCAGAAATGTGCCAAAAGGAAAACTCAACTGTATTACTTAGAGTGATATTTCAGATTGTGTTATGAGCCATCGCTCTCTCATATCTTTGTCTACATGTAGCACAAAACATTTTTTTGTTGTTTTCGTAATGCCGATTGAAATATATTGCAGGGCAAATCATATTCTCTAAAACACAGGAACTACTTTTAGTAAAGAAGCCTGATTGTATGCATCTTGTTTTCAAGATGTTCCATTCCACTTCTAGTCACCTCAGCTTTATGTAGAATTTCTGCTATAATTAGTTGTTGTTGAAGCCCTTCCATGTTTTAATATGTAATAATACTTTACCATTTATAAGAATTTTGTGATGAATCACATGTTAATTGTTAAAAATGTTAATTATCCTTTCTGTGATATATTTGTAAGAAATATATTCTCCATTGAATTTTAACTCAGACTAAAGAATCCAGCTCGTATTTGATAAGAAAACTGACTTCTTGACCCCCAGGTCACCAGTTAGTGACACTGGACAGATCACTTCTTGAGCTTTCCTTAAATTCATATGTAAAATAATGACTTTGATCTTGATAACTTGTAAGATTATTTCCGGGTCTAAAATTCTATGAATTTTAATTTAAATCTTCCTGCGTTCCTAAGGACAAGGAAGAAGAGAAAGCAAGAGAGGAGAGTTTGGTGTCTTTATGAATGTTGCTAGTTGCATACTCCGTTGGAGACAATTTTTCTAAAATAAAGTGTTTTTCTTCTACTTGAGAACAAATAATGTGGCGTGTAATTTTCTTTCCCATTTGACCTATGATTGGCCATTTGTAGGCATGAAAACATTTTTTTCCCCAGAAATAGTTTACGATTGAAATACTTTTCTTATTTTTGCTTCCTGGGATGAAATTTTCTGTGGGAGGGATGGAGATAGGAGGGGCGGGTAAATGAATAGTAGTAAACTGTTTTTTTAGGAATTGTTATCAACTGTCTTTGATGTTTAAAAATTATTGTTGAACTGTTTAGTTTTACGTGTGCCTTGTAAGATTCTTGTGAAATTTTTTGTAAGCACTTTGAATTTTGCTTGAGGGGAGGGGTATTTTGTGAAAGTAATGATTGTTATTTATTATTTATTCCTATTCAGTTAGCACAGAGTGATCTCAAAACATTCCTAGAAGAGTGTCTGATGTGTTTGCATGATGTGTTTAAACAATTTCAGGAAAATAAAATCTTTTAAAATGCTGGTATGGCAAAGTAAAGTGTTGAATTTATTCATTTAAAATACTCACTTTTAGTTTGTGTTTCTGATATGATGGAAAAAATGTAATATGTTTGTGTTCAGCCTTTTCATTTACTGCATTTATGTATAAAAGATCCTGGAAAGGTAGTTGTTACTTTAATGTAAGAGAAAATCTTTTTTTTCCTTGGATGTACTTATCCTATATGTTTACATAAGAAATAATAAACTGGAGGTGGGAATGAAAAGCTTTGTGTTTTGTCTACTATGAATTTTGAGAAGGAAACTATTTCTTTTGGCTATTCATTCATTCAAATATTTACAGAGCCCTTACACCATGTATACCTGTACTAGAAGTTAGGTATACAACACAAATCCCTGCTCTCCTGAAACTTAAATTCTAGTGGAGTGAGGCAAACTAAATAAGTAAAATTAACGTATGTCAGATTTTGGAAATGGAGTTGGAGAAAATAGAGCAGGGAGTGCCAGGGAAGGGAAAGTGGGATTGTTATTTTAAATATAGTGGTGAGGCCATCTTTGAAAAATCTTTGATTATCATATACACTGTCCAGTAGAAAAGATAATACCATATATTATATAATATATATATAATGTACACACACACACACACACACATCATTATCTAGTGGAATGGAAAACAGTGAACCAAATGAACCATTTGGGAAACTTTAGGATTGGCATATACTGCGTAAAGAGTAGAGAATGAAAAGGATAAAAATTTGAGAGAAAGTCTTTGACGTGGCCAGTGAATATATTTTTAAAACACTGATGTTTTTCTGTCTTCCAAGCAGTAATAACCATGTATTTCTAAGCTCATTATAGTTTATAAACTACTTTTCCATATGTTTTCTAATTCGTGGTAGGTGTACTCCCATAGATGCTTTTGTTAGACATCTGGTTACACATTGGAAAGTGCCTTGAGTTTAATTACAATTCATGACCATTTTCTTAATCTGTGGTTTTCAGTTTCTCAACAGGAACAAAGTACATAGTAGCTGCCTTTTACCATTATTTCGGTGATTAAACAAAATATAAAACTAAAAATTAAATTTTTATGACATAACACAGGACCTGGCACATAGTAAGTAGGCCCATATATTTTAATTCCCTTATCTCGTTTCTCAATGTTTCTTCATCTATAAAAATAATTTCTTACAATTTGCTCTGGAAAATACTTCAACAAATATTGAGTTATTAATGCCAGAATTTGTGCTTGAATTTTGACCTCTGCCAGCTTCTGAGAAGCTCAAAGTTTCTCCTTAATAAAGAGCTATGTTATTGTCTGCCAAACAAATGCTCTTTTAAAAAAGGGAGGGGGAAGGTTGAGGATTGTTTGGCACCTATGTGGAGGGATTGAGGGATGGGATCAGCATCAGATCATGGGAGAATGAGTAGAGTAGTACAGATGTATCAGATTATGCTATATGGATACCATGCTTTTCATGCGGGGTGTCAGACACTGGCTCAAAGCTGTGTCCAGGAGCCTGGCTCGAGGCGCAGATGAATGTTCAGGGAGTTTCCCATCAAACCCTTCGGCCTGCCTAGGCTTCCTAACAGCACCTCCCACAGTGCTTCGGGTCTCCCTAGTCACGTGACGGGGGGTAGTTCGGTTCCACCAGAGGAAAGCTGATGCGCAGTCCAGGTGGCAGGGGCTACTACGCTTCCCTTCCACCTCCCCAACTCCCGGTCTTGCGTGATCTCGCGTGAAGTGGGGAGTATCTTCTCGCGAGAGCGAGGTCAGGCTCCCTCCAGGTCCGCCTCCGTGGTGAGGAGGAGGTGGAGGAGGAGGAGGAGGCGGAGGGAGGAGGAGGAGGCCCCGTCGCGGCCTCCGCCGCCGCCAACGGGGCTGTCCCTGTAGCTCCCGATGGAGTTTGAGGTCGCGAAACCGCCGCCGAGCTCTGCCCCGGCGAGACGAGGCGCCTCCGTCGCCGAGCCGCGCCGTCGTGG